TATGGTATGTTGTGTTATGTTATGGAATGGTATGGTATGGTATAGTATAGAATGGTATGGTATGGTATGTTATGGTATGGAATGGTATGTTGTGTTATGGTATGGAATGGTATGATATGGTAAAGTGTGGTATGGAATGGTATGGTATGGTATGGCATGGTAAAGTGTGGTACGGAATGGTATATTGTGTTATGGTATGGTATAGAATCGTATGATATGGTATGGTATGGTATGTTGTGTTATGGTATGGAATGGTATGTTGTGTTTTGTGTATTTACTTCATTTGAAGCCACAACAAAAAAAATACCCATGTAAAACCTGTAAGCAGGGTCGTTTAGTCTTCCAGAAACACACAAATGCAGTGTGGTAAAGTGAGATCATTTGAAACTGCACTTGTAAGGATTATTTGACAGTGCAATTGAACAAACAGGGCACTGTACTCTATATCCCATAATGCCCTGCTGCAGCACTCTCTCTCTGGCACTGCACTGATGTCTCAAAGGCCTGGCACTGGAATAGACAACAAAAATAAAAGTGGGAGAGGATTGGAGGCTGTAATGTTCCAGTGCACTCTGCTCAAGAACCAAAGCACGAGCCGTCGAGCACTGAAGGGCATTTCAGAAACCTTTCTCAGTGCAAACAAAGAACAGGCCACAAATCCACTAAATGCGGTGCTGCAATTCTGCTGTGTCACGATTCAATCGAAAGGCTTTTACTTTTGACCATGAAGGGAGTTAGTCCACTCTGATGATGTTCATTTTGTGAACAGAGCTCCAGACTGATGAAAACATGCTGTCGTTTGAAAACACAGTGAGTGGGTGTGTGTGTGTGTGTGTGTGTGTGTTGTGATGGAGAAGGTGTTGGTGGTTTGCAGCGCCTCCTGGTGGATCTCCGCACAACTGCACACATGAACCGCCTGGCTCCTGCTCAGACTCTCAGCTTTTGTAAATCATAAGCAAACAATTCAGATGATAGTAACCTGACGCAAGTATTTGTTATGTTAATTATGATTTGTTCTCAGCATACTTGCTGTTTGATGTGATTTTTCTGATTCTAATCCATTTGTGCCTGCTTTGTTTGACTAGAGCACACAAACAAACCAGCAATGATGAGCCTCCGCTAGGTGGGCAGAAATTTTAGATCACGGTTGTATATATATATGGTACCATACCATACCATAAGTATACATATATACTTTATTATTATTTTTAGCTGGAAATTCAATCTCAAAAGGTTTAAATGCTGTTCTTTTGAACTTTTTATTCATCAAAGAATCCTGAAAAAATGGTTTTCCACAAAAATATAATAATAATAATAATATTACATCAAAATTTCAAAATCAGAATATTAGAATGATTTCTGGAGGGTCATGTGACACTGAAGACTGGAGTAATTATACTGAAACAAAAAACAGACCATAATATTAAGATCAGTTGTACGATCGTTTTTACGAACTTCTTAGGCTTACGATGCTTTTGGGAAACAGACCATAATATTAAGATCAGTCGTACGATCGTTTTTACGAACCTCTTAGGCTTACGATGCTTTTTGGGAAACAGACCATAATATTAAGATCAGTCGTACGATCGTTTTTACGAACTTCTTAGGCTCACGATGCTTTTGAGAAACAGACCATAATATTAAGATCAGTCGTACGATCGTTTTTACGAACTTCTTAGGCTTACGATGCTTTTTGGGAAACAGACCATAATATTAAGATCAGTCGTACGATCGTTTTTACGAACTTCTTAGGCTTACGATGCTTTTTGGGAAGCAGACCATAATATTAAGATCAGTCGTACGATCGTTTTTACGAACTTCTTGGGCTTACGATGCTTTTGGGAAACAGACCATAATATTAAGATCAGTCGTACGATCGTTTTTACAAACTTCTTAGGCTTACGATGCTTTTGGGAAGCAGACCATAATATTAAGATCAGTCGTACGATCGTTTTTACGAACTTCTTAGGCTCACGATGCTTTTGGGAAACAGACCATAATATTAAGATCAGTCGTACGATCGTTTTTACGAACTTCTTAGGCTCACGATGCTTTTGGGAAACAGACCAGATCAGTCGTACGATCGTTTTTACGAACTTCTTAGGCTTACGATGCTTTTGGGAAACAGACCATAATATTAAGATCAGTCGTACGATCGTTTTTACGAACTTCTTAGGCTTACAATGCTTTTGGGAAACAGACCATAATATTAAGATCAGTCGCACGAGTTTTTACGAACTTCTTAGGCTTACGATGCTTTTGGGAAACAGACCATAATATTAAGATCAGTCGTACAATCGTTTTTACGAACTTCTTAGGCTTACGATGCTTTTTGGGAAACAGACCATAATATTAAGATCAGTCGTACGATCGTTTTTACGAACTTCTTAGGCTTACGATGCTTTTTGGGAAACGCAGCCGTACTATGAGTTTGTTTACCACCAAAATAACTTTGAAGCTGTTATATTAAGGTACAATTCTTGCATAGTGTGCCTTTAAGCAAAAACTTTTTTTTAAGCAAAACTTTTTTCTAGGAACTGGGATATTTGTATGGCAAGACAAAATTCTAAGTAAGAAAATACTTTTTGCAGTGCACAAACCGGTAATAAATTAATCAATAGCGTAATCTGCTGTCTATAAACGCCACAGCGGGATCGGTTGACACATTTCTATCATGCCCCGGTGAGACCGCCCAACCATTTAAACTACAGCTACAGTCTGAATGAATGGCAAAACAAGTAATTATTGTCAGCGGTTTGGACATCTCATTTCTTCATGCACCAAACACTTCCATTTTCCCAATCCCCCCCCCAAGACGGTTCAGCACCCTCACAAACATGCATAAACACGCGTGTCACCCGCGAGCTGCTGGAGGCTTTGCATTGAGCTGTGCCTCTCGAAGCGCCTCTACTCCAGTAATTGGCCCATGATGGAGCGCTGATTGCCTCGGAGTACCTGGGGAGTTCAGCACACATTAGCATTCAATAAAATCGCAGATGCATACACAAACACACACGCTCCTGTAAATGAGTTTATCACTGAGGCTTTCTCCTTTGTGTCTCAAGGCTGGACGGGAGTTTATTTGCCATGTGAATTTGGTCAGCAGAAGTGTTAGCGATTCATTTAAACTGAACTTGATTTTCTGTTACATTTATATGGACATTTTTACAGAGTTTGCTGAAATTATTAAAGCTTCATTCGTACAGAGGTATACAATATGATAACCATATTCATGCACAGTACTGTTTAATGGATTTGCATTATACTTTTCAGAGAATACCATGGTACTTGTATGTATATGTTTGCTAATGTTTCAAATGAATGTGTGTTGATAAACCATCTCTTCTTTCATCATCATGGCTAAACAAAGTAACATCATTAAGAATGCATGCTAATGGTTAACCCAGTAGATCAGTGTGGTCTATATTGATGCATGTATGGATTACACTCCACGTCGAGCTGTGGTCAGTTGGTGTGTTACAAACGTCTTCTGGAAGGCTAATTTGCATAATTTCCACATAAACAAATAGTATTGTGTGTGTGTGTGTGTGTGTAAATCAAAAAGAATAGCATTTACAGTATTCAAAATATAAATCTTTTCTTACAATATACATTTTTACTATCAATTTTTATCAATTTAACATGTCCTTGTTGAATAAAAGTACCCATTTCTTTCAGAAAAGAAATAAATAAAATGACTTTACAAATGCGAAATATTTCTATTTTAAATTAATGTTAATGTAACATTAATCAAATAATTATGAAAAAAGAATCACAGGTTATAAAAAAAATATTAAGCAGCACAAGTGTTTCCAACTCTGATAATAAATCATCATATTATAATGATTTCTGAAGGTTCATGTGACTCTGAAGACTGGAGTAATGACGCTAAAAATTCAGAATCAGGAAATCATTATTTTAATTTGTAATAATATTTCACAATAATGCAGTTTTTTTCTTTATTTTGATCAAATACATATTACAAGCCAATTTTCTAGGATAATGAATGCTAATAAGCAAATGTAATATGTAAATTATGTGCGATGGGGTCATTTCAGGACTCTCATTAGTTGTTTTGTACTGTTAAGTTTTTACAGATGGTTGTTGCCATAGTGACATAATTACAATAATTAGCTATGCTACAGTGCATTTGTGTTCGTTAATTCATTTTAGGAATGTCGTTTGATCCAATTTATGTGAACACCTACAGACACATGTTGGATCTCCGACAGGGTCAAGTTATTATAACTAACAAGTACACAGAAGTGTCGTGCTGCTGTTAGTTTTTGTGAACAAGATACAGTACGATGATAATATTATGTTTTTGAATATATTTCTTAAAGTACCCTGGTGGACCATGGAAATACTTACCTACCGTGGTGCTTTTTTGTGAAGCATCCTTATTTTTTAATAAGATCAGATATATTTAGGGGTTCAAGCACAAAGTGCTGTAACCCTATTGTAATTATAAGGATTTGTAAAATTGATCGTGCGGACCAAACTGTAAGAGCTACAGACATGAAACCTGGCTGATTGGTAGGCCTCAATTTGGGGAGAACCTATCAGAGTATGTCCCTGATTGGCCCATAGGTGGCGCTACAGCAACCAAAATTACAAAATCGTGCATAGCTCCTAGATTGTTTGACTTAGAGATGGACAAAATGTAAATGTCGAAATTTGTCCTAAACCTGCTTTTGCAAACTAGTCCCTGGTTTTTCGCCCGATCGGAGCCAAACCAGTCTAGGGCAATTCTCTGGACTCTCTAGTAATTATTGGGAAAAAAGTTGAACTTTTGCATTTGGGTGGCTGTTACAGGGTCATTTAGTAAAGGGGTGTGGCAAAATACACTCAAAAGCCTACAAATCCTAAACAAAAACTCACTAAATTGCCTTCTGGCCTTAAATGCTTGAACCCCGCTAAAAGTTGCTTGCAGCTTTAATGTATGTTTTATAATGTAGAATGTGTTTTAACATAAACTGTTTGTTGTGTGATTGTTTCAGCTGATGCAGCAGCAGGCGGCGATCATGGCTGCTTCTCACGGGGGTTATTTAGCGCCCAGCGTTGCGTATCCAGCGACACAGATTCACCAGGTGGGGGCGCTCAACATGAACGGCTTGCCTCCCACCTCGATGACACCTGTTTCAGGTGAGTCTAATCACACCCTCATTTACATGTCAACTTCGCTTCAGATGTACTTCCTCAGACGTCTTACAGTTTAGCAGAGCTGCTTAGAAATTTAGTAGGGTAAGAGATATTTTTATCCATTAAACAGTTTAAGTTCTTATAAAGTGGTTTTGGTAACACTTTACAAAAAGGTTCCATTTATTAGCATTAGTTAACTAGTTAGCAATAAACAGTACTTCTACATCATTTATCACACCATGGGGCCTAACACGATTAGTCTTATATTTTCTTGAGTTATATATCTGCATCATGCCTCAGGGACAACACTTTTTAAGTGGCTAACTTAGCATAATCAGAAATAGCCTTTTTTTTTGTAGTAACAGTAATACAGGATTTTTTCTCCCATACAATATATTTTAAAACCAATTTCATGTCATTTACAGAAGTGTGGAAGTATGTTTCCGCCACAAAATGAAAAATAAAAAAGTGAAATAATATCTCACAATTCTGACTTTTACATCTCGCAATTCTAACTTTATTTCTCAGAATTGCGAGATATAAAGTCAGAATTGTGTGTTATAAAGTCAGAATTGATTGGTATTAAGTCAGAATTGCGAGTTATAAAGACAGAATTGTGTGTTATAAAGTCAGAATTGATTGGTATTAAGTCAGAATTGCGAGTTATAAAGACAGAATTGATTGATATAAAGTAGCAATTGCGTGTTATAAAGTCAGTATTGCGTGATCTAAAGTCAGAATTGCGAGATATAAAGTCGCAATTGCGTGTTATAAAGTCAGAATTGCATGTTATAAAGTCAGAATTGTGAGATATAAAGTCAGAATTGTGAGATATAAAGTCAGAATTGCGTGATATAGTCGCAATTGCTTGTTATAAAGTCAGAATTGCGAGAAAGTCAGAATTGCGTGTTATAAAGTCAGAATTGATTGATATAAAGTAGCAATTGCGTGTTATAAAGTCAGAATTGCGAGATATAAAGTCACAATTGCGTGTTATAAAGTCAGAATTGCATGATATAAAGTCAGAATTGCTTGTTATAAAGTCAGAATTGTGAGATATAAAGTCAGAATTGCGTGATATAGTCACAATTGCTTGTTATAAAGTCAGAATTGCGAGAAAGTCAGAATTGCGTGATCTAAAGTCAGAATTGCGAGATATAAAGTCGCAATTGCGTGTTATAAAGTCAGAATTGCGAGAAAGTCAGAATTGCGTGATCTAAAGTCAGAATTGCTTGATATAAAGTCGCAATTGCGTGTTATAAAGTCAGAATTGCGAGAGATATAAAGTCAGAATTGTGAGAGATATAAAGTCAGAATTGATTGATATAAAGTTGCAATTGTATGTTATAAAGTCAGAATTGCAAGATATAGTCAGAATTGCGTGATATAAAGTCGCAATTGTGTGATATAAAGTCAGAAATGCAAGATGTAAAAAGTCAGAATTGTGAGTTAAAAAGTCTCAATTCTGTTTTTTTTTTTTTCTCGCAATTGCGACTTTATTTCTCGATATTCATGTTTACCGGTATTGTGCCTGCTATGTGCTTTTAAAAAAAAATGAAATAGTGTTTTTTACTACAGTGTAGTGAAGAGTCACTGTGAAACTAGTATACGCTGCATTTTTCTTACATTAGGTCAGTTTACTAGTAGTAAATATTCATGATTTTACACTCCGTTTGTACATCAAAACACATCTCACGCCGAATATCAGCTTTCACTCCCAACTCACCTGATCAGTGTCATGGACTGGAACACGTTAGAGATTCCTATTGATCCGTAGGAATCGATGACCTGGATGTGAAGCACATTTCACGGATGCGTTTCAGATGGTGACCGCTGGTCTCGCACACACACACACACAGCTGCAGGGTCTTGCTCTTTTTAGCAGACGTTTAAAAAGGGGATACAGGATAGTCCGCTGGGTCCAAAATGAAAACAAGCTCTTGAATTTGAGAAGCATTTCAAATCCATCCGCTGGTCATGATTTAGACTGTAGCTGTTTTTGGAATGGAGGGTCATAAGATACATGTATATGTATAGATATACATTGAGATAAGTTTATTTTGACCATTTTTAGAGTAAATAAGCATATAGTTGACCTTAAAGCTAACACATGTACCTGTACTAATACTCTATACGTTTTGATTTAATTGTGTTTATGGCGCTCCCAAATCACATGGCTTTTAAGCGGCCACATTTGTTGGAGTCTCCTGTAATTGCACGCTGTTGGAAATGCCAGGACTTTGAGTGACAACCGTAATCATCTCACGCTCGAGCGATCTGTGCCCACACAGAACAGATGCTTTCATCTGTGCAGAGGATGACCTTTAGTCTGGGTGCTGTTCTGGGCTCAGGGTTTGCCTTTCATATCCTAATGAAACTAATGATGTGAGCAGCAGGAAGTTGATCTGAGACCAGTGCGCTCTGATGCTTTATGCAAATGTGTCCGGGGTCACTTCCCCTCCGACAAACAGCTACTGATCACAATTAACTCAGTTTAAATCCCTCTCTTCCCCTCTTGCTTTGATTTATTAAAACTTAGCGTACATTTGTATAATTCATATAATTCTAATTATACATTCTAAAAATGCTGGGTTGTTTTAACCCAACTTTGGGTCAAATATGGACAAACCCAGCCATTGGGTTACATTTTTTAATTACATTTTTAACCCAACGTTTGGGTTTGTCCATATTTGACCCAAAGTTGGATTAAAACAACCCACCATTTTTAGAGTGTACTGATATCAATATTAAAGTTATGTATATTTACAATATCTAATATTATATAGTAGTAATATTAACATTATTTAAAAAAAATTATATATATATATATATATATATATATATATATATATATATATATACAGTATATACAGTATATATATATATTAGAGCCCGACCGATAAAGGATTTTGAAGGCCGATACCGATACAAATATTTTTGGGTTTTAAAATCCGATATTCCGATATATATCGGCCGATATTTTATTTATTTATTTTAAACTGGACATGATAGTCAAAAATTTTGTCATGCTTATTTGAGTTAAGAGAACTGATGGGGATGTTCTTTTAATTGTTATTCAAGCAATGTATGTATCGTGACCAACTCAACGAGTGTTGCCAACAGGAACGGTGTAGAGTGCCCTCTGGTGGACAAACTATACAACTCCAACACTCATGACATGGTTCAAGCGTGTTTCGTCCATTTTTAATTTATTTTTTAAATATTCATTTATCGGCCATTATAACTGCCGATACCGATAGTTTGGAAAATGCCTAATATCGGCCGATAATATCGGTCTGCCGATATATCGGTCTGGCTCTAATATATATATATACATGTATGATCATTTTACTGACATATATATATATATATATATATGAAGAGTTCAGATGCAAAAGCCTCTAAGTGCCATTTGAAATTTTCTTCTAGAATGATCATTTTTATCAAGCTTGTATATTTAAGTTCAGTGATTTCACTTAAATGGCAATAATAATTACCTATTAATTGTTATTTAAGTGAAATTACTGAACTTAAATATACAAGTTTGACAAAAATCATCATTAAAGAAGAAAATTTCAAATGGCATTTAGAGGCTTTTGCATCTGAACTCTTCATATACACACTCTAAAAAATGCTGGGTTGTTTTAACCCAACTTTGGGTCAAATATGGACAAACCCAGCCAATGGGTCAAATTTTTTAATTACATTTTTATCCCAACATTTGGGTTTGTCCATATTTGACCCAAAGTTTGGTTGAAACAACCCAGAATTTTTAGAGTGTATATGCATGCACAGGCCCTATATTTTCAGATGTCATGGTGTGTGTGTGTGTGTGTGTGTGTAGCGTGTCTTGACTCTGCAAAAGTCATTCATACTGCACACTTCTAAGAGTCTCCTCATAGAGTGTGTTATAATACACTCTGTTTCTCCTCACTGACTATATCAGATACTAGGTGAAAGCACACACACACATTTATATACACAATAACACCATGCACTCGCTGAGCATCCACTCTCCTATTGTTTTCATTTTTACTCTGACCGCCTATTGACCTTTGTAGCTTCTAAAGTGTGTGTGTGTGTGTGTGTGTGTGTGCGTGTGCGCAGTATCTTGGAGTCTCTGGAACAGACAGTAGTAGACATGGCAGACTAATTTATCATTGCTGCTTGGGACCAAAATGCACAAAGCACTGCAAAAGAGACAAAAGCTCTCCTGAGCCTGTGCTGTCCCACACACACACTGCTGTCCCACACACACACTCAGTGCACATGAGATTCCTGCTCCATAAAGAGTAAATATTTGACTACAGCTGTGCTATGATATGACTTTCTGCAACATTAAATGTAAATACAGTCATTTAGCTAGCAGTCAAGTCCTGTACGTGCACAATACCCTGAGCGTCGAGTTTTATAGGGCAGAAATTCACAGCTTCTTTTTTTTTTCATCTAGTCTTGCGACTAGAGAAGACTTTTAACTGTCAGCATAAAATTTTGTCCGATTTGCAGCTTTTTCGGTCTAAGAACTGCACTCTACAGAAGCCTTTGCCCAAGTGACTTAATTAAGTTGCATGATAGGTATGAAAAAAAAAAAAACGTGTTTTGTCTTAGGTGTTGTCACAAACAGGATAATTCACCCCGAAATTAAAATGTTATCAGTTACTTACCCTCATGCAATTTCAAACCTTTATGACCTTCGTTCTACTGTTACACTGGCCCCTATTTGAACGATATAAGCGCATGGTCTAAAGCGAAGGACGCAAGTGCACTTAGGCCGAGTCCGAATCCACTTTTGCTATATCGACGGGTAAAATGGTCGGTAGTCCAAAAGGGTTGTCCCTATTCTCTTCATGAGTAATGGGTGTGTTTTTGGATGTAACGTGCAATAAACCAATCAGAGTCTCATCTCCCATTCCCTTTAAAAGCCAGTTGTGCTCACGTCATTCGCTGGAATTTGCAGGCGGAAAAACTGAACGAGGAAACGGATCTGCTCGTGCGCGAAGTTA